AAGAAAATGTTATGTCTCTGAAACTGGCAGTAAACTAAAATGCCAAGTTAATTTTACTATATACTAATTTTAAATTCGAAAATTTTAGATGGATCGATGTTTGTTAGAATTTGTAACAAATTACTGAACGGATCTCGATAAAATTTATCATAGATATAGAACATAGTTTGGATGATAGAATCGGCTATTTACTTTTGTTTTTTAGTAGGACGGAGTCGCGGGCGAAACTAGTATTATTTAATTTAATAAGCTACGTTGTCTTTGACAGCTGTCGTAGTTCGTGAGTTACATTCTCGTGCAAAACAGCTTCGAGGTTAACTACTGTTTTAATAAAAGTAAGGGTAAGAATAATCCATCATACGTAATTGGTGCGTGTCTAACCAATAAATAATATTCATCTTGGATTAAAAAATGAGAAGGATTCATGTTTTTTTTATCCATTTGCAATCCGTCAAGGCTTCGCACGTGTATATTCTGCACCTTTTCAATTTATGTGTCTTATTTTAGATGATTTACTATAGACTAGCTGTTCCTGTGCGGCTTCAACCGCGTTTAATTATGAGAATTTTATTTTCTTGTTTACTTTTGTCTAATTATCAATAGCAAATGTCAAAATGACATGACAATGACTCTTTCCCACATTAAGGTTTTTATCAAAAATATTTATCCCCTAAGTTTAATGGCGTGAAAATATATAGCCTAAAACTTGACGCAAGTGTAGGGCTTATTATTAAAAAAAGAGTTATTCAAAAATATGCTGCAATTGCTCACATCTTAGGCAACAAAGAAGTGTGTGTTTACGCTTTATTATAATAGTATAGATTTGAAATAAGTAAGAGAGATTGATTTTTTATAAAAAAAAGCGGGCAAACGAGCAACAGATCGCTTGATTTTTGCTATAGATTAGTTATTTTTATTGTTTTAAAAGAAAGGTGCAAACACTATTATAAAATATGATTCAAGTACTACGTGGGAGATGGCATCCGTCTACGTGTAAGTTTTATAAATGTGTTAATTAAATCAGTCTTCGCACATTCCCACACATAGAATGCTATTGTGTGTTAACACTTGAAGATATTATACACTTTTTTATTCGACTTTTTATCTAGTAGCTGGTTTAGTTTAGCTGCCATTTACTGTATACTTATTCTGTTAATTTAATATTAATTAAAACGGAACAGAAACAGTGATTCAATTTGGACATTACTTGTTACGGCATAACTCCGCCGCTAGTGGACCGATTTTGATAATTCATTTTTTATCCGAAAAGTAATGCTTGCAGGTGGGTCCCATTTTTTTGTTTGTTTTTATGAGTCTAAGACTACGACGTAGTTAATTAGTTTAGCTCAAAATCGCGCGACAAAATTTAGGGTCATTTTTTTGTACACACGCACAATTTTAACTGACCAGTTGTTCAGTGAAAATTTTCAATTATAACTAAGCGTTTGACTTTATAACCTCCATTTAAAGGCATACAAAAATATTGTACATAAGATTTTATTCGTATTATTTAACTCAACAAATATAAAAAGGTTGAAATTTTGCATTTGGTTTGCTTTTAAATACGAGTTCAATGTCCTTTCATATCTTGAATGCTGTTTTATGCGATCATAAATTCGGCAGTTAATGTGTTTAAGTTGTACGTGAGATTTGTTCATTTCAGTACCAGTTTGAGAACCGCTGACCGGTTTGAGATAAACATTAGTATAGGGATCAATTAACGATGAAATTTTAATGACGATAAGTCGAATGAAATAAGATATATTTAATTAACACGTAATGTTTTGTATCTGCACTTCTTTTTTATTTAATTTGTATTTACTACAGGTTAAAAGATTCCTTGATAAGAGTAAACTTACACTGTTACGTAATGTCGATGAAATTCTTTCAGTACAAAATCATATTGAATTTATTAACTAGTTTACACCCGAGACACAATCTTTGTAGAATTAAAAAAGTGAGTATCCTGTGTTCTTACAGACTATCATCTACATCTATGCCAAAATTCATCGAAATCCGTCCAGAAGTTTAGGCTACAAACTCTAACAAACATCCATGTACCTAAACTTTCGCATTTATAATATTAGTATGAAGTATAAGAAGCTGTTGTTTACGATTTTGTCGGCGTGGAACTTAAAAAAAATTGTAAAATATGCAGCCTATGTTACTCACTGATAAAGTAGCTTTTTAATGGTGCAAGATTTGTAACCGGCCCAGTAGTTTTTGAGTTATTTCAATACATACAAAAACACAAATCTTTTCTCTTCATCATAATAGTAAAGATAACATTTAAAATAATTGTTTAAACATTTAAGAAAATAGAAAGGATGAATACGGTATAGACAACGTAAAATTTGCAAACAGCAAAGCAATATCGATAGTTGGTTGCCTTGAAGAGGCAAAAGTCACAGGCGTCAACTATATCATACATCGCATTGAATATGTTAATACCAGTATCGTGATATGTTAGATGCCGATTAAATGTGCAGTGCATCCGTAACTAAATTATATACTATTATATAACAAATAGCTTTCGCCTTCGACTCCGTCCGCGTGGAATTAAAATAAAAGTAGTCTTTGTGTTCTACCAGACTATTCTCTACATCTATACCAAATTTCATCGAAATCCGTTCAGCCGTTTTGGCTGCAAACTCTAACAAACATCCATCTAAACTTTCGCATTTATAATATTAGTATGATAAATAGTGCAATCGTTCTAAATGATTTTTATTTATTGAGAGCTAAAAGAACAATCTAAGTAAAAAACAGCACGAGTAAGTTTTTAGCAGAATATAAAAGTGGAGGCTCATTCTATTGAATCATCATTATCTCCCCTGTCTTATCCTACTCCCGTAGGGTCGGCACACCGGGTTTTCGTCCTCCAAAGCACTCTATCATCCGTCATCTCACTCATCACTCCCTTCTTGATCATGTCACCTTTCACGCAATTCATCCACCTCTTTCTAGGTCTACCTCTACCGATGTACCCCTCCACATTCATAACTAACGTCAGTCTTGTTACATGTGATTCATCCCTTCTCATAACATGCTCTTACCACTCTAACCTGTTACTCTTTATGTTCTCAACCACTGGGACTACTCTTCTAATTTCTCATTCTATTGAATGTGGTATGTAAAAAAAGGTAAAATGTATTTCTTTCCATACAGCATAAAATATTCAGTCTAAAAGCTTAGGTTACTTTTTAATATAATCGGCTACAGTTATCAGATTTCATGTTTCGAATATTGCAAACACTATTTTCAAGTGAAATTCATATATCTTTAAAGAAATGAAGTAAAATTGAGGTAAAAACGCCGGTAAATTAGTAATGTTAGGGTATCACTACACATAACAATCTTGAACGAGTTCCATGAATCGGTCGATTGGAAGTCATTTGTGTAATTCCCGTATCTCCGCCCAGGGCGCGTTCAAATCTCATAATGGAAACAAAGCAAAAACTATAATAACTTGCTATCGAAGTGCTAACGATTCGACACACTATGACGCAATGCTGTGAATTTATGATTTAAGTAAACAGAGGAAGGGTAATTTCGTCTTTTAGGGCGTCCAATCCGTCCAAGAGCATCGATGGTATAAATATTTCGGCGAGTTTAAGTTCGTTACATATAATGTACAATAAACACGTCTGAATTACAGTTATTAGTAACTTTATAACTAGCTGTTACTCGTGACTTCGTCCGCGTGGAATTAAAATAATTAAATTAAACGTTTTCAAAGGTGCTAGAATTTTTTGAAATCTGCCTAGTAGTTTTTGAGTTATTACAATACATACAAAAATCTAAAAATACAAATCCTACCTCTTTATAATATTAGTAAAGAACTATTAACATGCAAGATAAAAAAGTTACAAGGCATCGGAATCGATATTACAAGCGTACACGAGTAATATAACACATTACCTGACAGAAGGCTGGCCGTAAACAAATCGGACGCCGGTAGAAATTATAGATAAAAAAAAACAAATAGAATGCTATTCAAACATGGCGCTTATTACAGCGGCATGAAATTATCGCCGACAGCCTTGCTCAGTGAAAGGTTAGCAGTCGTTGTGGGCGGTCGAGTTGATGTCCTTGTCAGGTTTTGAAATGTCGTGCTCTATGTTACCCGTATGTTAATATCTTCGCTTCGATTAATCGTAATATCTTTACGATGCTCGGATAAACTTATGATGGGCTATGATTGATGGTGAATGTTCTTGAAGCAACATTTTATTCCTTTTATAGCGTGTATCATCGAAATTTTTAGATAGTTTTAATTGGAATTTGTAAGAGACGGGTTCTTTTCACATTCTTGGATCTCAAATCTGTTAATTAGAAATGGATAATTAAATTAGAGAAATGTAAATTACATTAAGCAAGGTTTACTCTGTCAGAAATTGTAATATTTTCACGATATTAAGGGCCTGTCCCACCAAATTGTAAATTATCTAGTAACAATCTAACGTGTAAAACATGTGATGGAAATATCTTGTTACCTTATCTGACAGTCTCGTCATTTTTAAGCTATCTGACCCACTATCTGCTAGTGGTGGGACAGCTTACTGTTCTCAGACATTTAATAGTAGAAACCTTTAAGAACTTTCGTTTTTAACTTGATATCGCGTCAGGCGAATAAGAGAGCATGAAACTGATACCGTAAACAGCAACCGATCGTAAACCTTCGTAGTGAAACTGACGCTCTATAAACATTAAGAAACGGACGGTAGCCGGTGTTACCGAGTTTCTTGTACTAATAGTACATGGTACACGATGAACTGATATGTACCATATGGTACAAATACCAATATTTCTGGAGATCATGACGTAAATTGTAAGTGTGTTCATTTATGAATTGTTGACAATAATACAACTTATGGAGTCAGGAATTTGATTGGATTTGGAAGCGGCGAGTGGCATATTGAGGGTTTTAAAGGGTTAATGTTAACCATAAGGGTATTGGCGCTTTTTTAAATTTTAATTTAAATGTTTCTTTGTTTCAGATAAAGATGGCGTTGCTGTGGGGTATATTGACGTGCTTGTTAGCGGCTGCGTTTGCGCAATCGAACTATGACTCTCAGGCTAACAATATTGAATATCAGGGAGAGGGGCTGCCGGAGCAAACAGTCCTGGATGGCAAGGTCAGTATTCATTCTAGATTGTAAACACTGTTCTTGAATACTCTGTCTACTCAAAATGAGTGATTAAGTACCGTATTTAGAATTATTAAATGTTGAGACTGGAATAACACGTTTAAAGCGGCAGAGATTTTTCCGTACTAAGTATAATACACCCGAAGATAAAACTATTATTATTATGGTCTATAAACTTCTTATTCGCACTGTAAGAGATACGTACCAGGTGTTTTAGACCTGGTTTCGTATTCAACGTGTTAAGGGACAGCTTACTTAACCGTTAAGTAAATTTTGTCGAATACGTCATGTTAACTTTTAGCAACTTTTGGTAGAGTTTACAAATATAAAAATCCCACAATAGTGTAATAAAAATGTCCGAGTATATCTTTAAGAGTACAATGACCCTTTAACACTGTGACGAATTTGCCAAGTTACGGTCAGAATTGAAAGATATAAGTGTGAATGTTACATCAGACATTTTTTGCGCGATAGAGCAATGTTATTGAATTTAACTAATATGTTGCACTAGCTTTCGCCCCCGACTCTGTCCGAGCAGTAGTAAAAAAAAAGTAAGTAGCCTATGGCTTCTTTCAGACTATCCTCTACATCTGTGCCATGTTTCATCGAAATCCATTCAGCCGTTTAGGCTACAAACTCTAACAAACATCCATCCATCTAAATTTTCGCATTTATAATATTATTAAGATTAGCTAAAGCAGAAGACTAATTTATATCTAGATTACGGTATTTTTGGAACACGATTTGATGTATTTTTTACTATCTGTTACCTTATTTTTAATAGTAAGTAATCTGCGCATGATCTGAACAATGGTTATCAAGGTAATGTAACTTGAAAGTTGTTTCATTTCTCGGCGATTTTAGCAAAAATATTGACTGTTGATAGAGAAGATAGAGAACTCTCTATCTTTAGGCGGAGTTTTAGCCAATGAACTATAATTATTAAGCCGTTGTTTAGTAATCGATCATTAAAGTATAACAAAAAAGCATCGTTAGATTTGAACAGTCGATTAAAATATCTCACTTCGCGTTTATAATTATCGTTCCGCTAACGATGATATCGTCTGATTTAGAGGAATTTATTGCTGAATGCTTTCGTGATACTGGTACAGTCAAAGTTCTATCCATTTTGGTACAAGAACGTTGTCATCGATATTCGAATATAAGTGGGAAGCAAATTATATTCCTTCACTAGGACCAGTTTATTTTTAATACGAGAAGAGATATATAAGAGAGTATAGAAATTCTGTTAGAAGTGAATTACCACTTTTATATGATTTTTTAATAACTGGCTTCTACAGAACTTAATTTACTTTAAGGGATACTTAAAGAGTCTCAAAGAATGTGTTGATATAAATAGCTTCTGGATGGGACTTAAACTGTATACCGTTAATAAAAAAAATAATTGCTTTGAAATGGCCAGCATCCGTAATGCAACGGCACAACTCACTACAATCAATCGGCATCGAATGTGGGCTATAGCAGCCTGAGAAGTAATTATTTGGACCGTTACGCAAAACAAAACAATGCTATTATTGATGTGGTTATTAGCTGTTGCTCGCGACTTTTACGCGTGGAAATAAAAAATATAGCTTATGTCACTCAATTATAAGGTAATCATATTACTTCTTGTATGTTTAAATTATGTAGATCAATGTAATACATATTTACAGGATCACGCTTGATTTGTTTTTCTGTGAATACGGTTTTTTCCTTGTACCAAAAGTATTTTGTTCAATGATAATATAAGAACCGGTTTGTTATTTAACAGCGACGCATCTGTCAAATGGTTTTTTGCTAACGTGCAAAACATATTTTAAAATTTGATGGATAACTTCGGTTTTTCTTTGCTATTTTTTTGCTGTGGGTCAGTTGGAGTGGTTTTTCCTTTCCTTTTCTTGGAACTAAAAGTTGATTGAGATCAATGCACTTGTGTTTTATTGAATTTGAAAAAATAGTCCGATCTGATTTAAAAAGAGGATCTACAAATTGTTTGAAACATTTTTTGTTGCAAGTCTTCATTCTTTCTCGGGTAGTAAAATTGGCGTCTTTTTTCTTCCTCGTCCATCTTAGTTCTGCATTTCTTATCTTACAGACACATTTGTTAAATATTACCATTACTTGTATGTCAACATACATGAAATTATGTAAACAGAGTAAGAGCGGCCACACACTTGTTAGATATTTCCATAAATGACTTCCTTTAAAATATAGACGGACGTCCATATTAACAATACTTGTAAATTATTTAAAAACACACAAACTGAACTCCAATGCGGCAACGCCAATATATCGAACGTTCCGTTGTGACGACTAGTAAAATACTGAGCTTGTTGGCGACTGAGCGCCGAGACTGCAACTGAGTCCGAGCCACGCCTTGCTATATATTTTATAAAACTACCCCTCCGCTATTCCTTCCGTTTACTAATATTTTCCTAACAATATTACTGTTTTAAATAAATGTATTGATAAATAGCACAGATTAACAAATAAAATTTAAGAATACAGAACACATCAAAAATAGTTAAAAAGCTAACACACTGTTGTGCGATTGTCGATTGGTTCGCACTCAATTCAACTGTTTAGTTGCACAACTAAAAATAGAGTGTGCGCACTTCCATATAAGTTCATAGAAATCAAAGTGCGACTAAACGGTTTTGCGATAATTTGGTGTAAGGTGCGCGCGCTCGAAACCATAACATTGTTTAACATAATAGAAGTAGTGTTCATGACGTCACATAATGTTGAACACAACCACAACGTGTTGTCGCGCGAGATACCGTTCTCGTGATGTATTGCGTACGCTTATGCTCATATTACAATAAGTTACGGTGCTCTGCTTGACTTGAGATGTCGCTGACATAACGGTTCTCATACAAATATGAGTTCAATGTTATCATTGAAAAATTTTATTATCATATGTCAAAAGATTTAAATTGCAAATATATTATTTGTGATCTTTTATATTTAAAACTGGCTATTAGCGTGAAATAAAAAAATAGCTTAGTTGTTGTTGCAGACTATCCTCTACATCTGTATCGAATTTCATCGAGATCCGTTAAGTAGTTTAGGCAACAAACTCTAACAAACATCCATCCATATCTTTTGCATTTATAGACGTAGTAAGATTTTAATCTACGTGTCCTATACAATTTAGAATTCAATTGTTAAGTCTATATAATTCTGTAGACTTTAGTTACTGAACTGATGGTTGTCGTAAGCAACGATAGTTGTTAGTAAGGCAATGTAGTTTTATGGTCATAACTCTAACATCCACTGACCAATAAATCTGATAAAAAGTTGTAAATAAAACATGCAAATAGAATGTAAGGAGATATAAATCCCTAGGTATTATAAAGTTTATCTTAATGGACGGCTTCGAGCGTAGTTATTCGCGAGGCATTGTTGGGCGCAGATATCGTAGTGAACTGGACACAGCAATGATGGATACAGCTATCGTTGGAGAATAGCCCGTGGTGGTATTACGAAGCTTCGTTGACGGAGACGACACGTCATTAATATAGTTTACGTTATATTCATTTGGTCATACCACTTTGTTTCGATTTTTTTTCTGACATGCGCTAATATTTCGTTCGGTTCTTAAAATTTTCATTTTTGCTATTATCTTTAGAGTCAAACAAAATATCGTCACCATGTTTTTCGTAATACTTGTTTTTTCAGGTTTTAAAAGTATTTTAAATTGTACTGTTAATTTATAGTTATAGTTAATTTCAAAAAAATAATAAAAACACCAATGCAAAGTTTTTAAGTCCTTACATATATGACTATTGACTTTATAACAAATATGTCGTGTCGTACAACAATAGAAACTTGCTATTGGATAGACACAGCCGCGAGGCAATAATTAGCTTCTCGGATTTATAGCGGGCGGTTGCAGCGAGACTAAATATAGAATTACTGTTTGAACATTTTCGGTCCCAACATCGCGCCCAAACAATAAATCCTCCATGCTTGACACTTTTAATAATTTTATTTTTCTTTTCTTTCGCAGTAGGAGTTTTTCTGATGAATTTGTATCCGGATAGTCTTAAACTTGTTTATTTAAGTTTTCAAGTTTTGTTCTTTTATATCTTTAAGTTTTTGGATATGTTTAACTATTATTGGTTTTTCATCATCAACCTTTCGTGTGTTTTTTTATGTTTTTTTTTCTCTTATGTTGAAAATTTTCTAGGTTTACAGGTTAAGGGACTAGTATAGATAAATAAAGTTATAATTTTCTACTTCCAGGTGACTAAACTCGATGACTTGAGTCCCGTTATCTTCTTGAATAGGACCAGAGCGACGCTCAACTGCGCAGCAGGTTCAATGCAGGTCAATACAATCATATTTATCACTATATTTGCGTGAATCTAAAAAAAATATCGATACCAATTATAAGAAAATTATGATCGGCACATTGACCACCTATTTGATTAATCACATTATTTCACAATACGCTAATAGATGTTTCTCTTTGAGATAATTATTCACGTGAGAAAGATATTCTTATCTGAATTAACCTTCAATTCTAATTAGAATGTGGTAGTAAATGTTTCCTGTTTTCAGATCGAACTAAAGTTCAACGAGAAATTTTACGGCATCGCGTATGCCGATTTCGATAGACATTCAGCGTGTCAGGTCGCCGGCAAGGGAGCGACCTCCTACAAGCTGGAGCTGCCACTTAAAGGATGTGGTACTAAGCAGGTTGGTGTCTTGTAAATATTCAGCTGCGAAACTTTTGCTAGATGAAAACTTTTGGTCTCAAAATTATGGTCCTTAGTAAGTAATTTCTTAAATTAAAATTTAAGTGTTCTTCTAGGATCCTCTTCGTGTATTCACAAACAACATCGTGGTGCGTTTCCATCCGGGTCTGGAGATGGACGGTGACGAGGTCATCACCATCGTATGCCGCTATCCGCCGCCAATAGTGCCAAAGCCAGAGTTCAAACCTCTCATTTTTACGTAAGTTACTTACATACTCATACATTTAAGCTGTAATGACGTAAAATGTGAAACACTACTTCTTTGACCAGAATGTAAAAAGACAAAAAGTTAGATTTTTATGTTCTTCTAAAGTTCAGATCTCCCCTGTATCTTTATCTTCATCTGAATTACTTTCAGCCCTGAGCAAGGTCCGTTGCCAGCCAAAGCGCCTCTGGCGGGCACACACATCCTGATGATCATCTGCGCAATCCTCTTCCTCACGCTGCTGCTCCTGGGACTTGGCGTCTCTTACCTGTGTCTGCGGCGACGCGCGATGCCAGTGCCGAGGAGGCTGATTGATGACTCCTCCGCATCTATCATTAGCAGAGAGAGTATACAAGGTTGGTCTACTGCCTAGACATTTTGAAACTCTAGATTTTATAGTAGCAGTTGCAGGGGTAGATAATTTTATTTAAGTTTTTCCCATGTAATGTTAATGTGAACGTAGCACTAAATTTGGGTTTTAATATTTTTTCAGAGGTTAAAATACCTCGAGCACACCCTGTATACCCAGTGGCAGCGGAAAGTGCTAGTGTAGCGTCAGACACGATTCCTTCTGACTACCCGTCGGAGACTCCCAGCGAAGCAGAAGCCCATACTAACCAGGCATTCATGATGGACGAATCATATCAGAGTGAAGGTTAGTAAAGACATCTGGTTTCGTAATTATTACTCATTTGAAAAATGTATGTGATGTGTATCATACAAATATGTTAAAATTAAATCCAAAATCCATCAATAACATCATCGATCATTCAATTATATGTTTCATTTCTAATTTTTCATAAACACATATTAATGTATCACCATTCGTAAACGCATCCCAAGTTTATGTCCTCTCAAAACCGCGTGTAACCTTTATCTGTGTTTCTCGATTATTCATCAATTCATTCCATATTGTGTGTAACACCATAACTAATAGGGTACGGTGAGATGCACGAGACGAGCGCGTCTAACGGCCGCTATTCGCACGCAGCGCACGTGCACGCGCACGCCGG